CTCTCGTCATGCGTCGGTCGGCCGGTGTTATTGCACCCGAGTTCCACAATGCCATTACTGTCGCATTAATTTCGCATGACAGTGACTGTACGGAGTTTGGTCCACATGGAGCATAAAACTGGCGATCCTGCAGTAGGTTTTTCGGCTTCTGAAGGTAGTCTGTTCTGTCCAGTACGACGGTCGAACGCCCCTTGTCCGCGGGCACGATGACGATGTCCTTCCCGGCCTAGTGTTCTCTTAATGAATTGCGATCTAACTTTTGGAGTATTTTGCGCGGGTAGTGAGTCATAAGGAGGGACGACAGTTGGTGTCGGATAAGGTTCTTCGTCCCCTCCGTCGCTTCCCTCTGAATAATGACCGATTCTCCTGCCGCAATCATTTTGAAAATTTTGTCATCAGCCATGCTGACTGAGGCTTCGTGTCGCAAAACCTGAACTTGCTCACTCGTCAGTTCCCTTGACGACAGGTTGTGTACTAGTGTGCTGTCTCTGGATGACGTTGGATCAGGCAGTTTGGGGAATTTGTTCCCCAGTGTTCCATCGCGTGCCGCTCTCGGCTCGCGGGCTCGTTCAGTCACCTGCTGCTGAAGCAGATTTGTACCGACCTCGCCCATGGACTCGCAGCATCTGGCCTTCTCTTGGCCATTTCTCTGACGGTATTTGCGGAGCCTCGCATGGCAATCTTGAAGGGGCACACGGATCATACGTCTTCTGTGTAAAAATAGTGCGCGACTCTCCAGCTTCGTGTTTCCCGTGGGTTAGTATGAAACACACTTCGCAACATGTTGTTATCGAGACACATGTGCAGAAATCGGATCTGCGTGTAAGTAGAAACCCCTCGAAGGGCTAAAGTTTCCCATCGTCCGGCTGAGCAGTCATCACGCCAGCATCCAACACGGGTGATGAGATTTCATCAATTAACAACTCGCATGCCGGCCACGAAGCCATTAGCGCACCATCGGGCAACATTTCCTGATGAAGGGGAGCGCGGTTAATTACTATATGTATGCGGTAGCATAGCGACTGAATCCTATGAAAATTGCAACTTCCTGTCTACGAGTCACCCGTTTCTGCCACTGTCTCCGTCGATGGGTTCAAGTGAGAATCCGAAACGTCGGGCGAGTAAAGCCCTTGTGCCATCGATCGCTTTTTCTTTGTCTTCTTATCAAGTACTTTGATTGTAAGACATGCGACATAGCATTCCAATCCTATGTTTTACTGATATGTCTCAGATATTTTAGCGTTCCATGCTTCATCAACATAATACGCACGACAGTCAGATGACGTGAACCGTATGCAGTGAATATTAATATTTCCTACTGCACAGTTCAGGACTGAAATATGCTTCGCTGAGGTCTAGATCCTTCATGATAGTAACGATGAAACTGGGCGACAGGAATCGAGTACGCTGTCGGGGTCGAAAGTGTAAGCACAGTGTGGGCATTTAAAATAAAACAAGCCGAAGAAGAATGCTGGGATGGTTGATGGGAAAGGGAAAAGTTGTACTTTCGCTTTAGAGGTTGAGTGACGTTAGCGGTTTGGGTTAATGCCAGGTAGACATTAGTGTTAAGGGTTGGGGCTTGTATTCAGTTTAAGTGCCTCGGTTAGGATTATGCCTTGGATCGCGGTTTACGTTTGGTGTTACGGATGCGGTTAGGGATAGTGTAAGGGCTAAAGTTACGATAAAGGGCAGGGCTGTGGTTAAGGCTTAGTGTTTCGGTCACGGTTAAGGTAAGAGTTGGGGGTTGTGTTGCGGTAAGGTTAGGCTTTGGATTACGGCTAGGTTTCGAGTTCGGGTAAAGATCAGACTTTGCATTAGATTGGAGGTTCATAATAGGTTTAAGGTCAGATGTGGTGTTACGCTGAGGGTTTGCGTTGGGTTTATAATAACGTTAAGGTTCAGGTTTTCTTTTGTTTTTACGGTGAGAGTTAACGTTGTGTTTGTGTTTGTGTTCTTGTCGTGGACCCAGAGGCAATGCAGCTTGAACAAAATATTCTACCAACATTTGATAAACAGTGGTGTCGACATTTCAAATCCAAGTTATGAAGTCTACAAATACATTTTTACAATTAGTTATGCGTTTTGTTAAACCAAAATAATTATGCTCCTGGAATGCATTTGCTATTGCAAAGTTGGCATTTTCAACGGCCATATTTTGAAACATTTCGCGAATTCAATATACTATCAAACATGTAATTAGTAGTTAGGACCAATTATACTAGATTTCCGTGATTAGATGTGAGAGGTTGTCATAGTCTTTGACTTCCTCTTCTACAGTGATCATCAACTGAAATACCACAGTAGGCGCATTAAGAGGTATCTATACAGAATCTGAAAAAAACAATTATGTAGCTTGTCAGGCAGTAGAGAATAAATGTCACTGACCCTACCTTACACATCTGCAATGCAACAAATAATTCCCGTATGCAGACAACAGTTGTCGTTATAACAATGCATTGACTGTTGCAAGAAGAGAGCGTTTCGCACGGTCGATGAGAGCAAAGAAAATAGGCAGTTTAGGGCCTAACTATTAAATTTAAGACACGGAGGCACCCAACGATCAACAAATAATTAACGATTAGATGGAAAATTCGGAGTACCTATTACCATTCTAAATGAAAAAAACGTGTGTAAGGTTAATAGGAGGCCATAAAGCATATAACTATGCCATGCACTCCCAATCAGAAATGAAGACACGGAGTAAACATTCAGAAGGAGCGGCCACTACTGCCACAGGATAACAACTGTAAAAGCTAGATATAAGTGTTTATAGGCAGTAGAACGTAAAAACAACAAAAAATGTTGACTAAAAAGTGTCACCTTAACATGTTCCGATAGACGAAGAATCACTAAAACAACTTAAGGCAGAAACGCATGCGAATTATATCGAACTGGAGAAATAAATTTTACATCAAGGCATTCGGCAGGTTGTTAGACTAAAAGTGAACATAAGGCTGATTCGAATTTTCTTATCTGCACTTTAGTCAAAAACTCGGGCCTGGCCGGGATTTGAACCCGGGACCACTCGCACCCTAAGCGAGTATCATACCCCTAGACCACCAGGCCGGTGACGAGGCAGTTTAGGTATTCAGTCCTCTCGTAATTTGCCTGTTTCGTGGTTAATGTACTTCTTCTAGCAAAGCATCATACCGGCCTGCAACAGTTTACACACTGCCCACATGACGACAATCCTGTGCGGCGATTGGCTCTGGTGAATCCACCTGGAGCCGCGCCAACGACGACCAGCCAATCAGTGACAAGCCACGAGCTAAGCGCTTTAGTGTGGAAAGGATGTTTCGCAGACGAGGCATGCGCCAAAGCAGATCTGCAAGTGTTTTTCTCATCCCTGCTACGGGGCTCCTTGAGGCTGCTAATAGCGGTCAAGCTTGAGCAAATCATCGAGAATCAGCCAGCGCGGGACAGTTTGGGCGAATGGTTTTGCTGTCTTGGCGGAAGCATTTATTTTTATCATTTTTGCTTTGAAATGTATTCTCCGAGTAAAATTATACCGCCAAAATGACATCTAAATTGCAAAACTCAGGTCTTTCATAACTAATGTTAGTTCAGCAACTAACATGCGGTCGTGGTTTGAAACCTTAGCGTCAACATGCGAATGCAATGGCGCACAGAGTATAACTTAATACCTGTAAGTTGACGCTGCGAATCCACGACCACAACAACGCTGTTCGAATTATTGTACATTGTATACGCATGCCATTTTACAACGCGAAACCGCGTATCTACCTCTGACATACCTGACGATTCAGCCTCCCGGAGAACATTTTACGTTAATGCATTATTTTTCCTTGCACTATTGGCTAAATGAAATTTGTGACCAATATCTCTGGTATATATAAATCGAAGAATTCCATAGTGAGTTGACATCTGCACAGATTTTTGCTGCTAAACAGATTTCATATCAAGTTGGAAAAGTTTCCATTGAAATGTTTCAAATATAATTTGGGGAACATACGTTGGCTTTCGAGAAATTCTCTTCAGGCCTGTACAGTTATATTGCTGTCGAAATAATTAATAGGAAATGCAGGAAATTAGATGTCATTCTTTAGTTGGGGTTTGGGGGGAGAGTGTGGGTGTAGTTGAAAACAAAACTCCACACAGTGTCAGCCAGGAGGGTAGTGATGAGCACGGGATACTTCAAGACTGATCTACAATTTTTTTGCCCTTCCTTGCTGCGGAGGGCCCTCGTGGTTGGATTGTACTTTGATTAGCCATCGGGGCCTGGGTAGTAGGGGAACGTTTCGGTGACTTCTTAGGCAGAAGCTGTCATTGTCATTTATTACGAGCAAGTTTTTTAATGGTCGCCTAGTACTGTGCGCCTAGACATCACACATCAATCCGCGTCCCACCATCAAAAGTCCATAAGCCGCAGTATATTCACGAATGCGAAAGCTATGTCAGGGACTTGCCAAACGGTCCTTATGCTTCAAAACCTATTCCGCTAATTAAGTCTCAAAAATTTTCCACTGTTGATGCATAATGCATTTCCCACAAAATTACTGGGAAAGCTCATCATCATCAAAATGTTATCCAGTATTTATGTGTGGAGTCCAATTGCAGGGAGATGTAGCCTATCCTTCAAATATTTCGCAAAGTTTTCATTCCATGGCAGGTCGCGTCTCCTTGCCCTCCGCATTTGTCAAACTGCCTGTCTGTCCGCCTCACACTCCCTGTCGATACGCCGCTGGGACACGCGAGGCTTGTCACTAGCCTCGCGAGTGCTCCAGACCAATCAACACTGTCCCCCCTCTGATTGGCCCGTGGACACGGAAACAACGATAGGTGCACACACGCGTTGGGTGTCGGCATCTCGAAGGAACACAGACAACAGCTGGCCTGGAGAGTGCGCTCGCGGCGACTGCCTAAAGAGTCTTTGTGTACGCCCTTCCAAAACAGTAAAGATTGTCCGACTCACTCCTTCTCCCCCGACTTTTGATTGGGAATGTTTGTTTCGTCGACCACACTACTTTTGACAATTGTTGATGCCCTTCCGAACAGCAATCTGGGTATGGTCAATTTCTATCGCCGGTTACTCCCGCACTGTGCCGACACCATCCTGCCGTTCCAAACGTTCATTTGAGCTGTCTGCAGACGTCCTCACTGCTTTTGACAAGTTGAAGGTTGTCCTGGCCGACGCCACCCTCCTCACCCATTTTTCTCCCGATGCTCTCATTTCCCTTATGGATGACGCCTACAATGTAGCAGTAGGTTCGGCTCTCCAACAGCACTTTGCAGGCCGCACCCAACCGTTACCCGCCGAGACGTGTTATAGCACATTTGGACGGGAGCCCCTTTCTGTTTTTCTCGCGGTGAAACACTTCCGGCACTTCTTTGAGGGCAGGGACTTCACTGTGTTCGCGGATCACAAGCCCCTTTAGTTCGCTCTCAAGTTCACGTCAGATAAGCTCAACCACGGGGAAATTCGCCAACTGGACTACATCTCACAGTTTACCTCAGACATCCGCCACATCAACGAGTCACGCAATGAGGTGGCGGATGCACTGTCCAGACCCTCCATCGCACATCTCGAACTTTCTCCCGGGATCGGACCTATGTACCATGGCTGCCGAACAACACCCAGTTGGTTCTTCCTGTGACGAGGACGTTTCCGGACTACAAATCCAGGACCTGCCATTGACTACTGCACCATTCTATGCGACGTCTCCACCACTTTCCATCGTCCCTTTTTGCCGCCATCCCTCCGCCGCAAAGTCTTCTCCTCCCTGCACAACTTTTCTCACCCTGGGAGTCGAGTTACCGATAAGCTGGTTTGCAAGCGCTTCGTTTGGCCTGGGATGCACAAGGACCTGAAGGCATGGACACGGGCGTTTTTCGGCTGTCAACGGAATAAGGTCCAACGGCACAACAAAGCTCCCATTGGCGCCTTCATTACTCCGGACGCACGGTTCAGTCATGTTTACCTGGACATTGTAGGCCTCCTGGCTCTGTCCAATGGCTGTTCCTATCTCCTTACCTCGTGCATCAATTCACCCAGTGGCCGGAAGCTATTCCCTGACTGATGTGGCTGCTCCAACATTCATCAATGCTTTCCTCAGTCGCTGGGTTACCATCTTTGGTGACCCTCCAATATCACGACCGACCGCGGTGCCCAATTTGAATCTAATCTCTTAGAGTGTCTTCTCTACTTATTAGGCTATACTCCATCCGCACTACAGCCTATCATCCGTCAGCCAACTAGAGGTTCAAGCGGTTTCACCGCCAGCTGAAGGCATCCCTATGCGCCGCAGACGATCCGGAGAGCTGAACAGACCACCTCCCCCTAGTCCTCCTCCCTCAAGTCGGACCTTGACTGTTTTGCTGCTGCACTCGTGTTCGGTGCCACCGTCCGACTGCCTGGTGAGAATATCTCGCCAACCCCGCGATTTGCAATTGAGGATCCTACCAACCTCCTGCACAGCCTCCGGCAATTCATGCGGACACTTTCCCTTGTTCCGCTCCGGCCATCCGTCTCCAGTCTTACCTCGAGCAAGATTTGGCGACATGCTCTTACGTCTACCACCGATGTGATCGAGTCCGCCGGCCCCTGGAACCAACCAACGACGGCCGCTTCTAAGTTATCTCTCGTGGGACGAAGAACTTCCGCATCCAACGCGGAACTCGCGCGGAGGTCGTGAGCGTGGACCGTCTCAAAGCTGCCGTCCCAGACACTCCTCCGGATGAGCCCTGTGGTCCCCTACACCTGCTTCACCTCCCCAACCCTCTATCCCTTCGTCCTGTACACTTCCTCTGCCCCTATGTTCGAAAACCCCAGCTGGAACTACCCCTTCATCAACCAACAACACTGCAACCGTCAGCCATACTCAATCTACCACTGTGCCCCCTTTATATATCACCCGTAGTGGACGCCATGTTCACTTTTCTGACCGTTCAGTTACTCATGTTTTTTAGACACCAACAATTCCTTCGACTGCGCTACGCGCAGTTCGCGTCTCCTTGCCCTCCGCATTTGTCAAGCTGCCTTTCTGTCCGCCTCACACTCCCCGTCGATACGCCGCTGGGACACGCGTGGCTTGCCACTAGCCTCGCGAGTGCTCCAGACCAATCAACACTGTCCCCCCTCTGATTGGCCCGTGGACACGGAGACAACGATAGGTGCACACACGCGTTGGGTCTCGGCACCTCGAAGGAACACAGAAAACAGCTGTCCTGGAGAGTACGCTCGCGGCGACTGCCTAAAGAGTCTCGGTGTATGCACTTCCAAAAGCGTAAGGATTGTCCGACTCACTCCTTCTTCCCCGACTTTTGATTGGGAATCTTTGTTTTGTCGACCGCTGCACACTCGAAAGCACGGTACGGGGAAAACATTGGTTCATACAGAGGAATGTCGGTCTTTTGTAGTCCATAATACATGCTTGTTCCTTTTAACTATAAAGTCCTGCCGAAGATTTCGACATAATACTAGGGTGGTCAGAACTTGCAGACTGCAAAATGGGCACTTGTTTCTGACCGCGGATTCCGGATGTAGGTTGTAGTGGACAGCCATAATGGCTACGTCGCGACTTTTGCTAACGCCTGCACCTACGTCGTAGCAACAGCCTGCTACGGCACGCACGTCTGCCCGGCTTCGATTTGTCTCGTTGCAATTCACTGTCTGCACCACGCACATGGCCGATTCTCTGCCTGCACCACGCGAGGCTTGTCACTACCCTTACGTGTGCTCGGAGCCAATCAACGCACCTCCTCTCGTTGATTGGTGAGACAGGCAGGAACAGCTAGACCACTAGCGTAAGCAATCTGCAACGACACTTTTGCAGCGGCGACCTTCGGCGATACACGGATCGTCCCTCTCGCAGACGCCGCCTCCGCGGCGCCGGACGCACCCTAGTCCGGTTGCCACCTTCCTTCATTATTCTGTACAGAACAAATAAATCATTTTCCTCTTAAACTGGCGTCCTGCTTCTAACACCTTGAGACATGGCCTGAAGTTGTGGCATTCTGAGCGTACACCATCACAGCTTAGCCGCTACAAGGTTAAAGCGCCTAATGTAAAAAAGGCTAATTGCAAAGCCCAGTTTTTCATAAGCCAGAACTGTTACAGACGCTAATTAAAAGGATCTGTCTGCGCGTTGTCACTGGTGACGCGTTACACTTTGAAAACGTTTGCAAATCCACAAACCAGACCGTATATCATACAGTAAGTTGCAGTGAGCATTACGTTTAACAATTATAATGCAAACAGTAGATTTAAATTTGACCTGTTTAACTTTTATCACGTTGATACGCGCTGTGTTGCAAAACGGAAACCCATAAATGAACATTTTAAGCACTTTATCTTGATATTTGTGAAATATTTCGTGTAATCTATCTTCAAACATTCCACATGGATATATTATTCATTGTTCAACGGTTTGTGATATTCGCACACACCGTATTAATTCGGTTTTTGTACATCATAGGTTGAAAAAGCAGTTTTCTCATCCTCGCCTTCTCTATATGACAAATATCTGCGAGGACATTGCATAAATATGATTACGTAGGTCCTAAATAGTGCTTTTTCTACACATAAAGTATATAGAACTTGCAGATTATGATTGTTTGATTAAAACGCAACGGTAGATTGAAGTCCATATCACCATGTATTCTGCCTCCAATTATATAGTGTAAGGAAAGGCCAATCTGCTACCTAATAAGTATAAGAAAAATTATTCTTTGTGCACGTTTTTATAAAATATATTCGAATTTATAAGTGTATCCAAAATCAATGCAAACGGTTCATACTTAATAGGCGGACGTTTTCTCCCAGTACGGGTTTTGTAGATCAAAACGATGTTTACTCAAAAGGCAACGACGTGTCGAGTCCGAAACGTCATTAAATTACGCCGCGTGATAGACAGCATAACGACCTTACCGACGTAATCCTTCCTGATCGAAAACGCATTTCAGGATTTCGTTTGACGTTTTATGAAAACAATAATTTCTGCGAGTGCCACATCGGTCAACAAAACAGTCCGATCGGGAAATGCAAGTGAATTTTCCAAAAACAATTAGGTCGTGTGGATGATAAGAAGTACATTATTATTTGCGTAACATATTTCATAGAATCTCCTGCAAATGCAACGTGTGAGCGAACTCATGTAATGCAAATCGAAATTCCGAAATGCTTTTTCATTTCGAAAAGATTAATTAAGTAGGATTGTAAAAGTAATTATCGTGCAGGATAAGTATATATTAATTCATCTAACCCAAGATGATGGCCTGCAAACGAACCTCTTTGCGGCTGCATGCACAACCATACTCAGTAAAGATAACTACTTAATTAGCATCCATTTTTCACAATAACCGTCGGTTTGCTTAAGAATTTTTTTTAAATACCTTGAAATGGCCGTCCATATAAAGTCATGTTTTTGCATTTACCAAAAAGAATTGTAGAGTTAACAATATGGCTTAAATCCACTGCTAACATTTATGGACCCTATGTGGTATCCTCTTAATACCAGAGCGGCATGTATGGCTTTCCGTACGCGGAAAATCTACGGCTTGTAGTTTGGGGGCCCCTGAATTCAAGTGTAACGGCAGGTCGGGTTCAAAATTATCCGAGAATTCAAAAGGTTTTTAAAAACCTTATTATACTATTTTTAGAGTATACAATGGGAAGAAGATGTTCTTTTCTAATGAATGAGCAAAAAATAAATATATTTATGCATGCTTTTCATGAAACATAATTGCATTTTTGAGGGCATCAAAAATAAATGAGAAAATGCATGCTAATTAAGTACTTATCTTTACTGAGTATGGTTTGTGTATGCAACCCAACAGAAGTTCGTTCGCAGGTCGACATCCTGGGTAATTGAATCATTATTAAATTATGCTGCGCGATGATTAGTTTTACAGCCCTGCTTAATGTATCTCTTCGAAACAAAAACGAATTTCGGAATTTCAGTTGACATTTCATGAGTTAGTCCACCTACTGTACGTTAGATGGACGATTGGGTTTCTGTTTATCAACTATGACCAATTTCAATCCTGCCTGTCAATCGGCACGGCTCCACAGAGTAAAGATGATCTACCGGAAAGCATCATTTACATTATCCACACAAAGTTTCGTCGGAAAACAAAAGAGAGCTTCCAGGGAAGTTTGTAAAGTTTGATTGCCCAACCCGTTTTTGACCTAAATTGATACTGTTTCTTTTCCCGAGGCTTTTATTTTCTGTTCATCGTCTTTCTTTTAAACGCGCACTTAAATATCTTTTCCGTAATGTTTTACATATCGGGGAAAACGTTTTCGAAAATCCTTCTGCGGACAGGTTGTTAACTGAAATAACGTTGTTTGCCCAGGAGATGTCTAATCCATTGACACCGCTAATGAATCCAGGTACTCATCGGAGTTAAATGAACTTGGTCTAACTTATACCAACTGCATTGCCACTGGCCTCTATCGTCTACTGTGCTCTTTGGTGCAGCCACATCTTTTATTTTGCGATTTTTAGTATTCACGAAGGAGAGAAAAGGGAGGGGGGTGCGAAGTAAAACAATTCCCAGACAAGGTTAATGGACTAGACAAGTGACATTCCCGGGCGTTGCTAAAATACTGGGAACAAACCCAAATTGTTTGTCGCGGAGGATGAAAACATCGGAGTGGCGTGAAGTCGTGCACTTGGTCCCGACAAATGAATTATGCCAAGTTAGTCAGACAGAACCGTCCTATTTGCAGGATGGCTTTTGTGCTAATAGGTCGCGTCTCTGTGAGCTTGTGTCATACAAGGCGAAGCAATGTGGTTAAACTTCAAATTATATGCATAAATTGACATTCATTCTGCAATAGTTGGCACTGAAAAATTAGTAATTCAAAAATTGAGCTAATGCTGGTTTTCTGCTATTTTCAGCCGTCCCTCTCATGGTTTGGTTCGCGAGATATTTGGCTGCAAGAAATAACTTCAAACATCTAGGTTGAAAACATTTGTAAAGGACCTGAAGAGGTTGATTTAAAAATTCAATTATATGTCAAATACATTTACAAACAAGTCCTATGATTTCTTATACACGCATAAAGACAAAAAACCGGACTTCTAAAAAAAGATATTATTTTAAATAATTTCACGCGAATAAGTTGGTTAATCTATATTAAAATGTACGAAACCTGTTAAAGATGTACGATGTTTAGTCTGATCGCAAGTCAATTATCTTATATATTTTTAGTAATCAAAATATCCGTCAAACTGTGCAGAGGATGTGCCAACTCGTAAAATGATAAATGAAAATCTGAAATGCGTTTTCGACTCGAACATTAAATTAAATAGAGTTGTTTTATTAATCGTCTTGTGGAAAAATTCCAACATAACATTTGCTGTATCTGACAAAGTGCTTAGTATCGTATACAACCAAAACGCGCAAAAAAGGTAAACGATTAATATTTTAAATTAACTTAAGACGCGGAAACTCAAAACAACATCATTTCATACATGGCATCCCTAGCAGGCAGCGTTGTTGAGATCACTTATGTGTCTTAAGAAAATTAATGGTAACGGTATAGAGAAGGACCCCAATTAACCGGTGGTAGACTGTGGAGTTTTATGGGGGCAGCGGCACGCTAGACAGTGAGCTAACAAAATAAAAAAACACAAAAATGCCTGGATTTATGCCGAAATTTACACTTAACGCTATCATATGACAAGGG